AGGTCGCTGAGCAAGTTGGTGAGGTCACTGAGCAAGTTTGTGAGGTCACTGAACAAGTTTGTGAGGTCACTGAACAAGTTTGTGAGGTCTCTGAGCAAATTTGTGAGATCACTGAGCAAGTTTGTGAAGTCACTGAGCAAGTTTGTTAGGTCACTGAGCAAGTTTGTTAGGTTACTGAGCAAGTTTGTTAGGTTACTGAGCAAGTTTGTTAGGTTACTGAGCAAGTTGGTTAGGTTACTGAGCAAGTTGGTTAGGTTACTGAGCAAGTTTGTGAGGTCACTGAGCAAGTTTGTGAGGTCACTGAGCAAGTTTGTGAGGTCGCTGATCAAATTTGTGAGGTCACTGATCAAATTTGTGAGGTCACTGAGCAAGTTTGTGAGGTCACTGAGCAAGTTTGTTAGGTCGCTGAGCAAGTTGGTGAGGTCGCTGAGCAAGTTGGTGAGGTCACTGAGCAAGTTGGTGAGGTCACTGAGCAAGTTGGTGAGGTCACTGAGCAAGTTTGTGAGGTCGCTGAGCAAGTTTGTGAGGTCGCTGAGCAAGTTGGTGAGGTCGCTGAGCAAGTTGGTGAGGTCGCTGAGCAAGTTGGTGAGGTCACTGAGCAAGTTGGTGAGGTCGCTGAGCAAGTTTGTGAGGTCGCTGAGCAAGTTTGTTAGGTCGCTGAGCAAGTTTTTGAGGTCACTGAGCAAGTTTGTGAGGTCACTGAACAAGTTTGTGAGGTCACTGAACAAGTTTGTGAGGTCTGAGCAAGTTGGTGAGGTCACTGAACAAGTTGGTGAGGTCACTGAACAAGTTTGTGAGGTCACTGAGCAAGTTTGTGAGGTCACTGAGCAAGTTTGTGAGGTCACTGAGCAAGTTTGTGAGGTCACTGAGCAAGTTGGTGAGGTCACTGAGCAAGTTTGTTAGGTACTGAGCAAGTTGGTGAGGCCACTGAGCAAGTTTGTGAGGTCACTGAGCAAGTTTGTTAGGTCACTGAGCAAGTTTGTGGTCACTGAACAAGTTACATGCAAATGTGCATTAGAGGGGACGCTTGTTCTTGGTATTATATTGGTGCTATGGCTACCATGCATGTTTCACTCATTGCATCTGTCTTAATAATGAAAAGACATTTCTAGTCTGTTACTTTTAATACCGCATGATATAACTGTATTGTAAACAAATGAGATGTTCCCTAAACATGTACTCATTTATTTGCCTTTGAATTAGTAATTTCAGTTATATGGAATTTATTACATAAATAGAATTTCTAAATGCAAATTAATTGTTTTTTATTGTATGTCACTATATTCCTTTTTTTGTTCTTACACAGGCATGTAGACGAGCAAGTCAAAGAGTTGAGTCGTACATGCGCTAGTAGTCCTGTTAATTCACTCTATAGTTCATCGGTGGGTAGTGTGCCATCAAGTCCTGGCTGGAAATCACCTGCTACAACACCTAATCTACCAAATATTCAAGATTTGTAAAAAATACAATTCACATTTACAGCTTTATTCCTACTGTTCAAGGTGTTTAGTTTCTTTCACTGCCAGGCATTTGTGTTTTTTTACTGGCTTAGGGGGCTTTATGCTAATCGGTGATTTACACTTATATTCAAATTGTTACGTATACACCATTTTCTTGAAATACTTGGTGACTTTTAATACTTGTAGATGCACAACTCTGAGGCTTTTAAGACAGGTATGTGCTTGTGTAATAAATATTTTCTTGACATATAATTTGCTTTTCGATGAAAACAAAAATCCTAGTTCTTTCCTCCTTTACCATAGTTTATTTACTGAAAAATATAATATTATAAATAATTTAATATAATGGTAAATCGTTTCCCAATGTAATTAATTATTGGCTATCTAATTTCTGTTAGCATATTTCCAGATACAGGGATAAATTCACATTTGGGTCTGAACATCTGTGAGTAGCTATGTGTTGAATATTTACAATTTTTTTAGTCCATGCAATTATAGGAGGAGCAATTATAGATACTGTGGAATACTTTATTTTCGCTAGAATTAATTTTCGCTGAAAAGGCTTTTTGGGTGTTTTGTATGGAATTTATTTTCACTGATTTTTGATGAGTTGAAATATGAAATATAGGAAAAAAAGTATATTCGCTGGATTTTATTTTCACGGAATCATCCCTTCAGCGAAAATAGCGAAAATAAATTCCGAGCGAAAATAAAGTATTCTACAGTAGTAGTCTTTTATGCATATATTATTTTCTTTTTCATTTACAAGGTTATACATGGTTAATTTCTACAATTTGCTTTTCCCCCTTTTCATCTTGGCCTACCTACTTAACAGTATCCAAATTTCTATATATATATATCCATCCCTGAATGATTTCAATTTAAGATTATCCCTTATGGAAATGATTCACAAAAGCAGTGTACCCTCACCATTCTAATTACACTGCCCTCTAGTGTTGAAATGTTGAATTGTCAGTGTGCCCTCTCATCATAACATCGCATAATTTATGGAAATGGCTTAGAGAACACACTGTTAATGTTATGCAGTTAACATCATGCTATTATAAGTAGGTCAATAGACTGTATTTGGATTTGGTTTCAAGTTATGTGTATTTAATGCTATATTTATTCATAGTTACTTGGCATTGTAGCATTGTGTTCATAAAATGAAGGTGACACCTTTACAATCATTCAGATTTCAAATAAATACCATTATCATTTGTAATCTGAAATGATGACTGTATTTTGAATCCCATCCATTAAAAAAGAAGTTATATTTCTGTTTCCATTCCTATATTGGGAGCTATACTATCCATCCATATTTTAAGTTTACTTTGCCCCTAGGTGTTTTGAATTCTAACATAAAATCAAGCATGATTAGATCTATGAATTTTTACATTTATTGTAATATTTTGGTCACACTTACTCTGGATATTCTTCACTACCACAGTATTAATTAGCTTCAGACATCAATAAGTTGGACAAAAAAGAATGTTTTGAATGCATGTTTGGTGTTTCTTCAAAGCAAATAGAGGCTAATTTGTCAATAATATTGCCTACACATGTTTTAGTGTGTAACATAATTTAAACCTTTGAGCACAAAAATCAACTTCTATCACCATTCACAATTTTAAAACCCAAATATTCTCCACATTTTTACCAACATTTGGTCAAGACACACAGCCAATAGAAAATTATGCCTATGTGGTCTAAAATATAAAAAAAAATACATAAAAATTTACAAAACATTGCACTGAAATTTGGTTGAAAAAAAAGTGCACAAAGGGTTGAATACTTGTACAGTACATAACGAGGCAGGTCGTGAACATTATTTGATCATGTTTTGTATTTATTTGTCTTCTAAACCAAAAATTAATACTGAAAAAACTACCGTCATTCTGGAGTATGACACGCGTGTTCAATATGTGGCAAATGTTCGGCTACGTAACCGTAATCGGTTGCTTAAAAAAATAAATGCTATTACACACCCACCCACCAAACCACCCATCCAGGCTTATGGAAACATTATTATATGAAAAGAGAAAATGGAATACTGTGAAATACTTTATTTTCGCTGGAATCAATATTCGCTGAAAGGGCTTTTTGGATGTTTTGTATGGAATTTATTTTCACTGATTTTGATTAGTTGAATGTGAAATATAGGAAAAAACGGTATATTCGCTAGATTTTATTTTCACAGAATCATCCCTTCCGCGAAAATACCGAAAATAAATTCCAAGCGAAAATAAAGTATTGTACAGTATTTGATGTGAAATATATATTAATAACAAAACACAAATCATCATGTTTCCATGGCAATTAAAACTGTTGAACATGTTATCCTATGAACTTTGCACGACAGTAAAATGTTCAGCTGTTAAATTGAACTATTACGATTCATATGAAGAGATTCTGATATCATGTCACACATGACTGGGTATTTCATGTATGTATTAGCATACAGCCACAGATTGCCAAAATACGCTCATTATATATCTCACTCAATGTCAATCTCAATCTCTTGCTCCACGGAAGTATTTTTCAGAATGAATTTTTGCCAAAATATCAACTCAAATGTTCACTGGTACATAATTTTCCCAGATTCACATAATCATAATAATATGTCCCTTGCCGAAGTTAACCCTGTTAGCCCATATTATTTTTTGCACAACATTTTTGTACACTTTAATGTATTTTTTTTTTAAATTTTGGAACTAATTGGCCAATTTTCCCATACAGTTCTCAAAAAGAGATTTTGGAAACAAATTATGCGGTTTTGGTTTGTGAAAGGTGAGAAAGATTGACCTTGGTATTAAAGTGGTCTATTATGATAAGCAGGCTGGTACCTGTATTATTATATCCATTTTGTTTGAAATGACAATGAATTTATAATAATTACTTTGCTGTCCTGCTGCTGTGTTCAATAGCATGATGAATCTCCACTGCTACATAGATATCATAAACCTGTTCTCTTCTACAAACAGTAATGATATGGTTGACATTTTGATTATATTTATTTTGTAAATATATTCACAGCGCTCATTATTACACATTGCATTATACCAGTGCAACCCACTGTGTGATAATATTTCAGTACATGTTTGTTTCCAACAAATGAAAAATATTACATTTGGTTGGGGGTTAAAAGAATTGTTTCATTTTCATGTGTCATTGCATTCAATAAACAAATCAATGTTAGACGTTTTTTACTGTTATCATTGTGATGGTCCTTGTCGCATCAAAGAATGAACAACAATGTAATATAAAACTTGCTCATTAAAATGATGACCCATGACACATTTAATGTTATCCTACTTTTATGTAAAGTGGGAAGGGGATGGCTACATGAAACACCAATAGCTTTCGATTTTTTTTTGGTGAACATTGTCAATTTGAGAACATCTCTTGACTGTTCAACTCTTGTCACTTTTCACAAAACACAATTTTAACTACCGGTACATTTAAAAAACAAAATTCAATCTGTAGCAAATGGAAAATTGTCTATTTTGGTCAAACCAAAGTAAAATGCATACAAATGGGCAAAATTGTTTGACAATAGTAAACGTAACAATTTTCAGTTTGGAAAAATCCGCTGGTGAAACTTTTCAAATATAAACTATTAATTTGTTTTAGTTTATTGTTATATTACACTTATCAACAAACCCATGTATGTTAAAAATTAATCTGATTGCATTTAAATTGGTCCTCTAATTAATGCGCGAGTACTTTACAGAATGTAAATTTTACCAGCTGAGCCAATCTGAGCATTTCAGTGGGTTTTGGCTGCTTTATATAGATATATAAGATAAAACATGGGCTTGTTGACTGAAGTGTATTGGGCTGTCTTACATGAAACAGGTGCTAGTTTATATATCAACTTTCTGTATATGACTTTTTGGTGCTCTATCTATTGGGTTTATTCAATCTTAATCACATATCAAAACTGTCAAAATGTTGCTGGATTAGAATTAAAAATATGAGGTGAAATCTTCTGCATTGATTTCTGTGTTGATTATGTGTGCTTGTGTTACTGCTATGAGTTGGTCCATATTTTATTACTATAACAAAGTGTAGTTCTTGTGTGATTGCATATAACATTTACTGCTAGATCATTTACCTTGAAATTCTAAGATATTTTCTAAATTGACTACGGTACTTATATACCTTAAATATGAGTTATTGTACATTGTTGTCGTCTATATGGTATAAACAATAAACAATAGTTTTGCTTGTGGCAGATACCCAATATTTCATGAGGATCACTTGTTTTCAAGTTCCATTATGATAAGTATCGCCTTTAGATTTTCTGATAAGTGCCTCATTTGTGAGTAAAAATGCCAAGGTCAAAACCTATTGAGAGCAAATGTTTTTTTTTGCTTCGCTGTTGACGAGCGAAGCTTATCATATGAGTGATTGTCCGTTGTCGTCTGTCAATTTTTTGCTTTGTTGACTACTTATTGAAAACTACAAGACTGATTGTTTTAATATTATATATATAGGTACCTCGGTGGATTTCAGATTTGTTCATTTCATGATATCTTTAATTCTCTAATTTTGATGAATATTTCTATCATTTTTGGTAAAAGTGATATTTTTGACTTGTTAAAAACTGCTTGTCTGATTGGATTGATATTACACATATATGTACCTCAGGTGAACCTCTCAGATTTGTTCATTTCGTGATGATATCTTCAATTCTTCAATTGAAATGTGTATTGCTAACTGCGAAGCTATCTCAGCCGAGAGACTGGTTGTGGTTACAATAACACAGTTTTTATCCAAACTTTTTTTTCGACCAAGTAAAACAGCATGTGTATCTGCTCCTTGCATATGATTCAAGAACAAATTCATGATGACAAATTGGTTGTTTCGAAGGTTCACACTGTCAAACCATTTTTTTTAACACTGCCCAGACCAATATCTATAAGGATCTACTCTGAACATTCATGTTTGATAGATCTTCTACTCACTAAAATTCACCATGCAATTCGGAGTCTTTCAGTCGTTTTGAACATTGGATTGCCTGATTATGTTTTATGGTTTGACAAGGGAATTGAGTTTTGTTATCAACTGTTCAAAAAGATGTCTGTAAGCGGACGTCCATTTTACTTTGTTACATCTATACAAGTGGCCGAAATAACTCTGCAG